TATAGTTGGCACACTACTTGCATATAACCTATGCACATCCTTGTTGTATGCTTTATGTCATCTCTAGATTGCTTATAATACCTAATACAATGTAAATGCTATGTAAATACTGCACTGTTTAGGGATTAATGACAAGAAAAAAAGTCTGTACATGTTCAGTACAATTTTTTTCTAATATGTTCGACCCGTGGTTGGTTGAGTCCACAAAGGCGGAACCCACAGACAGGGAGGGCAACCATACCGTTATTCATTAGCTCCCCTTCCATAGCTAGACATGCCCATCTGCTTTGGCTATTAAAATCCCTGTTAAACCCTCTGAACTCTCGTAAAACTTTGTTTTGCTATCGCAAACCTTCTCTGAAGTACTTCAGCCTTTCTCACACAATTGAGCTTCTGGTGTTAAGCTGTCCTCTAGTCTGTTGGTTGACCATGAGCCATTTCTGCATGTGCAGCCAGACTGCGGTGCCCGAAGGCAGGTGACCACACTTACATGGTGCCACACTCTCCCCCAGGCTGGCTGCAGCCATGCAGGCATCAGGAGGGTGCAGAGGGAGGGGGGCTCTGCATTTCCTTAATGTGGTGCCTCACCCACTACTCGCCATATGGCCTCGGGCAAGCTACCTAATTTTTCTGAACTAGAGTTTCATCAACTGTAAAATGGGGACAATAACACCATCAACCTCCTGGAGTTGTGGGAAGATTGAGTGAAATAATTCACAGCAAGTGCTCAGCAGAGTGCCTGCAGCCCAGGAAGCGCTCAGTAAATGGTGGCCTACCGCTGCTCCTGCTCCACACATATTTACTGACTGCTTCTGGACAATCTTGAATCTTCTACCATGTCCAGAAGTAAAATGTAGGTTTTAATCTGAAATTAAGAAGTCACATATTTTATATCTGCAGTTTCATGCAGATGGTCTCTCCTTGTCTGGGGAAATTACATCTCCAATTCTTTTTCATTCATGTTTTTAATATCATGGAACTCAGGATGTGTTTTACAATCCAATCTTCTAAGTAACTGAAAGATGTTTTGTTTTGCTATCTTAGAGTCCATTAAATACAGCATGCATTCTGCTGATTCTTCTGAAGAAAGAGATTTTAAAAAGAGAATTACAGGACTCAGAAGACTACACATCTCTCCGCCGTGTTGCTCTTCATGCTTTTAACTCTGCCCCCTGGTCCCCAGTCTCAAAATGCCACCATTATTATCATTTAAGTTCCTTAGGCAAGGAACGCTGCTTATTTTTATCATGCACATGTTCTTAAAGCCATTTGACACCATTTGAAATTAATACCACATCAAATTGATATCTGGTACTCCAAGAGCAGAAAATCATGGTTATCAGAGCTCTGTCCAAATTAAAAGGTCTAGGGCCGGCCCGGCCCGTGGCTCACTCAGGAGAGTGCGGTGCTGATAACACCAAGGCCACGGGTTCGGATCCCATATAGGGATGGCCAGTTGCTCACTGGGTGAGCGTGGTGCTGACAAATTAAAAGGTCTATTTGGTCACTACTGTCTTGAAAAACCTTAATGATGTCATTTACGTCCTGAATCGCCCCAAACATTTATGGGTGTTGTCTGTCTTTCTGGCATAATTACTAATAGTGCCCTCTAGCTATCCAGAGTATCCTGATTTGGATGACAAATTATATGATCACTCAATGTAAAGACCAAGGTAGGTTTGAAACTTTTGGCTTTAACGTCCTGTATTTTAATTTTGTCTTTACTACTTGTAAGTCTGGGCTTCTAGTCAATCAGTCATTCCTGTGGCTCAGCCAGTGTCCCTCCCTTTATATTTTTGCTACATACTGGTTGGGCAATGAAAAGCAAAACACACATGACCCTAATTCATGTTTATAAATCTGTAAAGGAGACAGAAATGAATTAATTACACATGAATAATGTCACAACTTCTCATTAGAGGTACAAGATCCTATGACAGCCTGTAAAATATAACACCCGGGAGGTGGGGTGGGGCACACAGGTAATAGAAATGCACCCGACCCCAGAAGGATGTCACCTCTATTTAATACAGCATTCAATATGTCACCATGTCTACCTTCCATTCATTTGCCGTGGCGAGGAAACATTTAGTACAAAGAGGCCCTTCTGAGGATGTGCACTAAGCGGTAATTGTGAGTGTGTAAAGGGCGAGAACTGAACGTTCATCTCTGGTTTCTGATTTAAGTGGCAAAACGACAATGAGAGCAATAAAGAATGAAGGAGAGGACAGAAAAACAGCATTTGGTGTTAGTAAGCTCCTTGAGGAAAAATTGTGTCAAGTTTTTTGTTATTTTTCCTCCTGAATTCCTCTTGGAACACAGGTCACGGCAAGAATGCTCAGAGCATCTCGACTTCCAATGACAGAGAAAGTAAAGCACAGAGACAGAAGGTGCAGAGCCCAAATTCAGAAGAATTAAAAGGCACTCTTAGGTCATGCTGACCTCTCGTCGTAACAGTCTCCTTTCCGATATCTATGATGTCAGCAACCAGAACAGGCTGCGGTAGGCAGTTTTAGGAGGATGACTGAGCATGCAGGTTCTAAAAGGGACTCCATAGACTACAAATGTGGAGAGTTTGTCCTCAGAAAGAACTGTGAGGGACCAGAAGCCAGTCTAGGAGGAAGAGTGCTTGAGAACAGGATCTCCAGTTATCGACAAAACACCAGGTGTGTAAATTCACTTCCGAGATTCTACATGATTAACTGGTCTGCTGTCCTTTTATCTGTTGCCTGGAGAGCACACTTCTGATACAAATAGGCCCTTCCAAAGTGGAAAATTAAATAGTAACTATTTAAGTGTACAAGGCCACGGCCAAAAAAAAAGATTGATCCATGGTACCTACACAAAGAATCTATAAATTGTGATGCTACATTTTCATCTCCAGGCTTTGTACTAATCCCCATGAATTACAGATAAATGTCAACTGGTACTGGTCACATATTTTATCTAGCCAACTTTTTCTTAACTGAGACATAAGTGTATTTAAAAACTCAGCAAATTCTTCAAGGATTAGAAATGACAGTGGTAGAGCCACATGTGCTAATTTTTCATTCAATGATGTGTAATTGATTAGTGCATATATTTCATATGTGTAATTAATGCAAATTGGTATAGTAGAGAGAGCTCTGACTCTGGGGTCAGAGAGATCTAGGTTTAAATGCTGGCAATGCCATTTGTTACTGTTTGTTCTTAGCAAATCTTTGAACCACACAGTTTCTTCATCTGTATAATGGGGAGACTATCACAAAACATGCAATCCTTGTTGAGTTTTGAGGATTTGATTAGATAATGCATGTAAAGTACCTAATAGTCCCTGGCACATAGTAAGCCACCAGTAAATGGTAGCTGTTTTGATGGTGACCACATTCACAGTTCTTATAAATAAAACTGGGTGATAACTTAATGCCTCCAAATCATAGTTTTCTCATATTTAATACTACGTAAAACTGGTATAACTATATGTGCTCTGATCATTATCATGGGTTAGGGTTAGTTAAGAGATCAAATGGGATATTATATATGGAGTCATCATTAAAACTACTAATTTCTGCACAAATGTAAAGTAGTGTCCTTTTCTCTATATTGTCTATATGAATTTGTAGTTTCTTGTGGTATTTGTGTGTCTTTATTTACTACAAATACACTAAGTGCAAGAGACACATTGCTTTTACTATTTCTACAAGGGCACTTGTAAAAGTATGTGGAAAAATGGAATTGAAAGATAATGCGAATCTTTCCATGAACTTTTTGAAGATTCCATTTACAGAACACACATTAGGGATTCACTTAATACAGACTACATGGCAGGCAGATGTTAGAAAGACTCAAATTTTCTCCCCAAGGAATTTTTTTTCCTCATTCTATTTCTTTCACTCATGTGCTTCCTCTATTTCTATTTCACTGAATTCATTTAATATTTATTAAGTTCCTATAGGACACCTTTTCTCCTCTTAGCTAGGCTTAGTTATAAAATGGTAACAATATTCCTTGATTGTGGTCTTGCCGTTTACTAACTATGACCTTGGGCAAATCAAGCTGTTTTTATATATATATATATATATATATATATATA